GAGTCCTACTCCACGGCGGGTACGCCAACTATTAAGACCTGCACCTGAGAGGCAAGCCCTTAAAAGGCCTCGCTTGGAAAAATCTCGAGAGAGCGCATGCCCATGAGCTCGCGAGAACCACGGGCTGCGGCCACGGAAGGACGGCTCTTAAAGGGTCCGCACACAGACTCACCTGCCACAGTGCCCAGCACAGAAGCAGCCCTTTGAAAAGTGCCATAGTTTGTGTGAAAGAAGCTTATTTGCTAATTTTAAAGCAGGTCGACTGAGGGGCAGGGGCTTGCTGGGATCCCCTCTGGCAATGGAGGCTGGTAGGCACCATCTTCACTAAAGCAGGCAGGAGCCATTTTTTTTTTTCTTGTTAAAATCAAACCCAAATGGAGAACAGGCTTGAAAATTCCCTGAGCAGGCAAAACCACTTAAGTAATCCAAACCTTAATTTAGCTTATTTTGCAACACTAACTTGACCTGAGTCATTTCATGCTTATGGCTCTGGAAATCATAGGCAAAACTTAAACCGTTTCCCAAAATTGATATGAGGTAACTGCTAACTAATGCCCTATCATTGAAGAGAATTCAAATATAACCAGTCACTGTGAAGAATAAACAGTCACTGCCTTCTCACTACATAAGCTGCTTTATAACAATGTACTCCTGAGCCTCATTCCATGTTCTGGTTTGAGTGCTGCCAGTTTGCAAACTGCCCTTTTGGTGTGTGCACAATAAACTTTTATTAATTACTACTTCAGGGATTTATTGGTCTTACTTCTGTTATTTCTGAACATTTACCAGTTCATAGCATTAAGAGTGGGATCCAAAGAAGACCCCGTATGACCCTGAGGCTAGTGAGCAAACTCATGCTGGTACCTACAGAGTCCACTGAGTTCACTGCTTTCTTGTCAACCCTGGAATTTGAGGGTAATTCTCTTTTGGGCCCAGGCTCTGCTGCCTTTGCATTTTGAGCTGTCCCACTTTATTGTGCATACCTCTATTTTGTTTGTTAAAGCTTCTTGGTAAGTCACCCCATTCTGTTCAAAAGTGAGGAAAACGTGAGTCCCGGTGTTTTGGAACAGCTGTTAAGAAACTCCCCTTGCAGTTATGAACTCTCAGGGAATCTAAATGCAAAGATGGTTTCCACCTGGTCTAAAACTTTTTCTCCATCTTGCTCAGAAAACTCCTGCTTTCTATATGTATACCCCCTATGGATCAGAATCTTGTGCCTTTTTGGAAAATGGGTGAACTTTTGGATAATTTGGAATTGTGGTGGCCACTTGGAACTTTAATTTGGATAAGTCTACCTTGAGGCACATTCTTGGCAAGAGAGAATCTCAGACCTCCCAGAGACAATGGAATGCAGTCTTTGATCATACAGAGAAGCTTCTAAAAGACAAAATGACTCCAAAAATAGCTCTAAAACCATACAAATAAAAACTCTTTAGGAAAAAACTTCAATAAATAGTGTTGGGAAAACTGGACAGCATATGTAAAAGAATAAAAACCGGACTACTATCTTACACTGTACAAAATTTCTTTTTTGCCTTCTACCGAAAACTTTTATAAAGTGCATAAAAGAAATTAATTGTAATAATAAAACTGAATTTCAGAAAATTGGCAAAGTGAATCTTGGCAGTAACAGAAACAATGGTAGATATATATGTATATTACATATACATACATACATATTTAAAACTTATTTGAGAATAGAGGCTCTCTAACAACTTTCTGGCATTATTTCTTGAAATAGTCACTCTCTCAATGGCCAAATTTACTCATGTGTTTGGGTCAAGGAATTTGAGTATCAAAAATCAGTAATTCCAGTTGTCTATTGAGGCGCCTTACACAGAATTAGGAATTAGAAATCCAGCAACTGTCAGGTGAGGTTGATGTGAACAGAGCTTTGGCTGTATGTCTAATTTTGGGAGAATGTACACTTGGCACCTCCAACCATGACAGCCACTACAGCCAATGAAAGGAAGTCTCTGTATCCTTTGCCTTTAGGGCCTTTACAGTCATCCTGCAATCCAGCAGTAATAAAGGGCATAATCCTCTAAATGCAGAATTATAAATATTAAACTGCTTTCCATCAAACTTGGCCAGTTACTTGGCACAAGTACTCTCCTAATTTTAGGTGATTTCTCTAGACTTTGTTCACACAAACACATTGAAACTAAAACTCTCATGGGATTTCTGTTCTTTGCCATCCTAGCAAAAATAAAAGTAACTGTAAATTTGTTACTTAAAAGTATTTCTGATAGTACTGGATATAAAAAGCAATGATACACCACAATTTTAAATTGAGAAGGACTGTTTTCCTTATGCTCCCAAGCCCTGAAATCATTCTTTGATATGCATGTGACTCCTGAGAAAAGCTGACCTAGCAATCAGTTTTTCAGGATTCAGTTCTGTTAAGGTCCTCAATTTTTGTCACCTACAAACTAGGTAAATAGTAATATTTTTTATGCAAATTAATGCATTTAAATGTTTAATTTTTGATCTACTGATTTTCATTTTATTTGAATAAAAATATAAAGATAAAAATAAATATAAAATAGATAAAAAGACTGATAATTGAATAAATATCAATAAATGTCTGAAACTAGTACATTAACCAAGTCTTTCCAAAGTTAATAAACACAGCCATTTGAATTTGCTTCAGGCTAAAACTTGTCATTCAGAGTTGATGGTGGAGATGCAAATTGTTTCTCCAAAGAGCTGTTTATATCGGTTAAGCTGCTGCTTACATGTAAAGCAGTGGGGAAAAGGGAAAAGACAAACACTTTCTTAGGCTTCTCATGATTTTTTTAATCTATCTGTGTAAAAATATGGCTTACAGTTTATTGCTGAAATGTAGGAACCTGAAGACTCCTGTCCACAGTTTTAAATTTAACAAGTATTTCAATTACTTCCAGAATAATCACTTCCAGAACTTTAGTACTGTACTATTAATAGTTATGCCCCTTCTACTCATGCAGAGAAATTCTCACAGGAGTCATGGACCCCAAAATGCCCAACTGAAACCATACCATGACAATTCATTGCTTTTTATCATAAATAGATAAAGCAGTAACTTGTATCATTTTTCTTCCATGAGGTGAGAAGTTGCAATAATCATTTCTTTATAATAATTTCAATTTTACTAAAATGTTTCTGAAAATAACAATAAATGATGACACACCCATGTTTGCATCAGATGCTATCTATTTCCATCTTGACTTTTTTTCTATATCTTAGCAAAGGTGTGAAAGAATATTTAAGACTCTAGAAAAAGCAATTTCCTTAGGGAAGCTTTAAGTTTATTTTTTCCAAATAACAAATGATTTTCTAGCATAACTAAAACTTAACTAACCAGTTTGTTGAAGCAACAAGTTGGCCTAGTAAAGTTTTTAATGCGAACCTTTGAATTTTCTTACTCATCATCTTTCTTCATCCTCTTCCTTGTCTAAAACAGAAGTATATTAGATACAAATAATCTTTTGAATCAAAGTTCTATATCATCACAACTTTTCTATATCACAGATGGAGGTGCTGATGATATAGGAGTTAGGGATATGTGAGTACAGGCCCAGAAAAAGTCTTAAAAGTTTAAATTTTTAAAAATTGGAATCTTCATTAGGGAATTGCTAATTTTCTCCTTTTTCCTTCTAAAGAAAAACTACAGAAAAATAATTCAATGCATTGTTAATTAGCTGCATTCTATATGTTTATAAAAATGTAAAAGCAATATTTCATAAGAACTTTGGAGAGTAGGGCAGATGGGTGAAGACTGAAGCATATATTTTTTTTTTTTCTGAAACATATTTTCATCTTATCTTGAATGCTGGATTACAGGACAGATTACACCACATAATGAAAGTCACAGGCCACTAATCAAATGATCCAAAAAAAAAAAGAAAAGATTTTTGCCTTCTTACTTATCCTCCTTTTTGTTAAGAGAGAACTGACTCTTAAGTGATCACTTTGATAAATAAACCCCAGAATAACAAGGTTTAATCTGTGGAAAATATGTTCTGCAGCTGGGACTCATGAAGCTCTTCCTGCCAATTGTGCCAGAGAAGTCTGTTGTAACATCAGCTTCTAAATTCCACAGCAAATTAATTAATACATTGATATAAATGGTTGTCTAGCTATGTTGGAGGATTTTGAGAGATGGACACTTAACAGAATGATGTGTCTTTAATTGGCAATTAAAGGCTCTCTTCAGTCAAATCAGTCATTGAGTTCTCACTTTAGAACTCTGTGGTATTGGGTTCCCTGTAGAACTTCTATTATTCTCTGTATGAAAACATACTTACCCCTATGCAGCATGAAGGGAAAATGAGAATGGGTGAATGTTCTTAATTTGACCTCTTTGGTTAACCTTTGAGGATTTTCATATCCCAATCCCCAATTTGTGACCTTAAGTATGGGTTATTACTTTACATATTTTTTCTTCTGTTTATTTTGCTGGGGTTGTGTATGGTAATTAGTTTTAAAAAGTAAAGCTTAATGCCCCAAAATAATGCTATATAGATAAATCGATCCCTTTTGCTATATGTAAATTGAGCATAGAAGCCCTTCACTGTAATTGTAATTTTCTCAGTTGAGTCAATACAGTAGAATCAGGGAAAGTCAGCCACAATCTTCAGACATCTTGGCTTTCTTTTAAGGAAAAAAAAAAATTACCTTCTCAATATTCTGCTAAATAAAGACGCTGTACAAGAAAACAACAACAACAACAACTAGCTATAATTAATTTAGGAGACCTCAATCATCTCCTTATGTTCATTGATTTTTGGTATTCTTGGACAACTAGCATGACAGCAAACCAAAAATGTATGTAATACTGAATGCCACAACTGTTTCCCAGTTTTGAGACTTAAACTCCTAAGTTGTTTTGACTGGGCAACTAATAGCAATTTAGATAGTTCTGTACAAATTTAGAGACATGAGATGCAAAACCATGACTGTATTCCAACACATTTTTCTTGTCAGAACCATTTAAATCACCATCTTACACAAGTACATATTGAAACTCAAATTTAAGCATTTTATTTTTATGTACATTTCATTTGTCCAGAAATAAAATATCTAAATACAGACAGACTGTAATGTTGTATATGTATAGCTGTCAACAATACTTGAGCTGAATAAATGCTTTGTACATTAAGTTTGTCTTTTTAATGGGGTTCACAGCTACATTGATAGAATGGATTCCTCATATCCTTTTTTTTTCTTTTTTAACCAATAACAAGCAGAGAGACAAGTACATAGTTAATATTAATAAGCAGCTCAAATAACACTTGGTTAAACTATGTACAATACAAACCATTCATACAAATGAAGACTAGGATATTGAATTTGTTACAATATGTGTAGTAAAGATAAGACAGACACATAACTTACATGGTGTCTGTCAGGCATTTCCCTTCTTATATAATGATCAGAACTTATTTTAAGCAACTTAGCTGGTCTCAACTTTGCAAAAGTCCAATGATTGGTGATGAAAGCTGTAATCCAGTGTCTGCCCACGTGTAAATTCCAAATGTTTGCTCATCTTTACTGAGAACAGGCTCCCTCCATAGAAAAAAGAGCCATCTTGTATCACCTTGAATGTGCCTACTGAATGCTGGAAAAAGTTACTACACTTGTTGTGTTCATAAAATAAAGAATACTGAGCTCTAAAGACACATTTTTTTTTCCAATTTTAACAAGCATATACTCCTACAGTAGTATTTACCAGTACAGCTACTCCAAGCAGTAGAAATGCATGAGTGGGGATTATTGATTAGCATGTACTCAAGACTTTAAAGGAGATTTCCATAACAGCAAGTGCTAAAAACCATTCACTGTCTAGTTAATCCTTTTGCTTGATGATCGTTTATCCTGAACCATTATGAGTCAGACAACGAAAGCCCTCTTGACAAGAATCATGACGGATGCCAGCTGAAATGTATATGAGAGTGTGTCTGTGTACATCTATGTGTGAGAGCATGTCTTCAAGTGTGGCTTTAGAATCTGTGGTGATTTACAACTATACTGAGAGATGAAGCTGACTGGGCAGAAATTACATCAGATTGTTTTCCACGAGCGTATTTGCAGCCAGTTGACGAGAGCAGCAGTGTAGACACATTCCAGGCAACAGATGGGACCTTCCTCTTGAGGTAACAGCCCTGTCATGTGACCTTGAATTCCTCAGGCTTCAGTCTCACCCCTACATTCATCCTCATCCAGAGGGGAAGTAAGGTGTGTCGCTGTGGTAGTTGTAGTCGGGGCACACTTTCTGTACGAGTTTATAATCTGTACTATAAAAGGAAATGTAAATACAGATCACCTTAAAGGGCTTGGAGCAGAGCCAGGACACATGACTTTGGGTCTGCTCCTGGTAACAGGTTTTTGAAGGGTCATAGTTGCAGAGTGTGTTCTTGGTAGCCTTGTCAACCTTTTCATATTCAATGCGACAATTAAAGGACTTGGAATCTTTGGCATCAATCACGGTTTGCTGTGCCAAGTCGAATTCCACTATTTTCGTAGGGGGCACCAAGCTGACAGATACGTTCCCTTGACCAGTGGAATTATGCCTGAAATAAACACTAAATGTCCCATTGCCATGATCTACAATTTTCCCAGTTATCAATAGGTTTAGCTTCACTGTTTTGATGTTGGAATGAAAATCACCCCATCCAAACATTTTCTTAAACTTGCCCGTCTTAACAATGGGCCTTCGCTTGGCCCTGGGCCGAGGCTCTTGAAGGTCTGTGGAGTTCCTCAGCCAGTCCCAGAGGTCTTGCTCAGAATAAGGTTCTGGGGTGTCATATCGCAGGTCTAAATCTGTATCATTTTCTTTGCCACGAAAAGTCTGTGACAGGAGTCGGCTGATAGACAAGTCTTTGCTGCTTTCTGTCCATATATGCTTTAGTGTGGATTTGCTGCTTCCTGATTTTAGAAGTTCTGACTTTCCACCGTTTGTTAAATTGGCACATGTGACCTGCAAATGGAACAGAAAAATGGCGTTTACATCTCTGTATCTGAGAACACCCAACACAAAGATCCAAGCCCTTTCTCAGAGGCTGGGAATTAAAGTACCTTCAGCACCTAGCCAATATTTATTAGGCCATGATAAAGTACCACTTCTATTTCATACAATGATGGGAGAGAGGGGGTGTAGGTGGATAAAAGCCACTAAACATGACAGAAAGACTATATAAAAACATTTGACGAGAAAAAGGCCACCTAACATGAATAAAGCAAATTAAATTCAAACATAAATCACACTAAAGTAATTACTTCTCAGCACCAAAATCCAAACACTCTTAAAATAAAATTTTACAAACGATTATGTTACTTTTTTACTTCAAGATCACCATAAGCTTTATAATAGTATGATTCTCAGAAATACGTCGACTGACGTACTATAGGCTTTTGGTAGTCCACAGCCACAGTCACATAAGGAAAGTTAGTTTGGCAAGGAGGCTGTAGTATATTTTATCTGGTCAAAACAAAATAACATGTTTATGATCACCCATTATTAGCAAGAAACATACTGTATAAGACAATTGTTTCCATTAAGGAATTTAAAATGCGATCTAGGAAGACAAACATTAACTGATAAGAGTAGTGCAGATCTTTTGATTTTAGAGTTTATTTTTGTCTTTGTTTGTTTTGTTTCAATGAAATTTAATCAATTGGTCAAACATCCAAATCTGTACTTGCCTAATTCTATAGGCATTGTTCTTATTGCAGCCTCTATATTTATCTTTAGTATAAAAGAAATGAATACATATCCTAATCTCTAGAATTACATAGATAGTTTCCCATTCTTCAGGTGGCAAAAAGAATAAATACAAGCATGCATTTGGTAATGGCTTGGTACTTGTGTCTCATCATCAACACAGTTGATCAAGGAGAGGGGCTGTAATGAGATGCATCATGGTACGCTGGCTCATGAAGCAGTAATGAAATTGTCCCAAAGAAGAAGTGAAAAGGGATTTAGAGTTCATTTACCAGCAGCATATAGGGAGTAAAAAAAAAAGGGAAGTGTCAGATTTCAAGGAGAAAGAACCAACCTATTGAAGAGGATGCTAAGATTCTGATAGCAGAACAACCTCTGATTTTCAGGTAGAATAGAAATTTACTTCTAAATTATACTCTCCACAGCTATAGTGATTATGACTCTGGAGTCTGACACCCGGGAATTCCAATCCAGGCTGTGATCCTTCACAGCTGTATAGTGTGGGCAAGTTGCTTAACTTGTTTATACTTCTGTTTTTCTCTTCTACAGAGTAGGAGAATGATGCCGCTTTCCCTCACATGGCTGTTTTGAGAATTAAATAGGACACTCCATTTAAAGCACTAATGGACAGTCACCTGGACACGATGAGTGTTCAACATTAGTATTCTAACTATTATCATCCTCAAACATTTTATCTCTGAATTCCACTGGCTAATATTTTATGTAAATGAATAACTTACAGTAGGATTTGAGAGCAAAGGGTATCTTTATAAGAAAATCTCCCTTTTATATAACCAAAAACCTAAAGCAAACAATTTAAATATATATATACTTTTGAAAGTGCTGCTGTAACAATCTAAAAACATAACAAGTTGAGTAGATAGTAAAACTCAGGTTAATAAGACATGAGCATAAGTTCATCTATTAAACTGTTCAACTATCAAATGCAATGAATGTATTAGCCTTCAATGGTGTGATGTGAACAGCTTCCAGTGGTGCAGACAGTCAAGAAACCTCTCTGGAATATCTCAGTTTGGGTACAGAATCAAAGCAGGTTGTAGTCATCAACACTGCCTTCAATATTCTTATTCTCTCTTCTCTTCCCTTTCAGGGCAATGTCTCAAAGAGAATACCAGTCATGAAAAATCAGGGAGGGTCCTTAGGAAAGTCCCCAGATCTGTTCAGTATACAAAACACTGATTCATTTTGTCTTATTAATTCAATAACTATATAGTGAGATTCCGCTAATATTCAGTAAAATAATAGTAATACAAAGGTAAATGAAACATGGTTCTTGCCCTCAAGATGTTCAAAATCTAATAGTGAAATCAGTTAAGCAAATAGCAGTGTGATGTAACCAATACTATGTATGATATTCTTGGAGTCATAGTCAAAGTTAAAAGGTAGAGAAGATGTAACAGAGGAGATGATACTCAGATCTGGCAGATAAAAAAGAGGTTCAGAACTTCAACAGATAGTGAATAGGCCAGAGAAGTTCTCCTAAGTATAAGGAACATACCATGTAAAAGTAAAAAGTTGAGAAGGAACATGTCACACGTAAGAATGGAAAATTGTTCCTTACCTCTGAACATTAGGGAGAATTGACTGGGAGGATAAAGAGAAGAAAAGGTTGCAAGAAGTCAGCAGAACCTGAAGAAGGTAGGCTAGGGTCAAATTATGAAGGTTCTAGGGTCAATTTGTGAAGGCATTTAAAATTATTATTATATATGATGGGGAATCCCTAAATTTCGGCATGTTTTGCTTTTAAGTAGGTCATCCTGGCTGTAGAAAAATCACCGATTGGACATTGAAAGGTGGATTGGTAGGGAGAGAACTTGAGGGAATAATTAGTTAAATAACAAATTGCAATACTTCATTCGAGAAAGTAAATGAGCTTGAACCAAGGCAGTGGCAGAGAAAAAGAAAAAGAAAAAATGGATATAAGAGATATTTTAGAGGTAGGATTAACTCAACTTGATGATTTACTGGCTAAGCAGGAGCAGGAAAAAGTTGCAAATTAATGAGTTTGCTCACATCTGTAAGGAATACAAAAGTAACAAGTTAAAAAAAAAAGTATAAACACTTGAAAAGAAGCCTCTTGATTTTTGAATTCACTACAAAGGACCTTCTTGGAGCAAGTTTCAGTAGTGGTAAAGAGACGATGTAAGATGACAAAGAACAGCAGCAAGCTTAACACATCTACTCCCAGATGCAATCAGGAATCCTTGGCTTTCTCACTCTATTATATTGCTTACATCTTAAGCATTTTCATTTTTGCAACACATAAATGTACACATAAAATTGAAATCGATTTTGAGCCTTACTGAATAAACAATACCATTTTTTTTAAAAAACCCTTATACTGAGAACACCCTGTACCATTGATTTTACAAACACAATAAAAGAGTTTCTTTTTAAAAGTCACCTAAAGATCCTTCCACGTCAGTATATCAAATGATAACAGACGTGGCAAAGACTATGGCATAAAATGAGACCAAAAGAAAAATCTGACAATTTCTAATTGACTAAATTCCAAAAAGGCAAAGCATCGTGAACCTTCTTTTCTACAAAGAGTAATTTTTCCTATAACATTGAAAACACCAAAGATACTTCCTAACTGAATATAATTTTCCGAGGCAAAAGTGGCCAATGCCCACCCACTCCAAAGGAGTTGACCCACTAGTCCAGTGATACCATTTCCACAAATTATGTGATTTGCCTGTTTTAGAAACAATGAGAATCATGAAGACTCAACATGATTAGGTATATGCATTTTAAAGCTTGTTTCTTTTGAGAACATTCAAATATAGGTGCAAAGAGAAGGGTCATTTTCTTCAACCGTAAACAAAGACAGAGCTAGGATCTAACATGAAGGGAGCATGTATGAGGCAGGACCTGTGTGTGGAGCTGGGGAGAAAAGACTACTGTTGACTGGTGGGAGTGTAAGTATATAAGAAGTTGCAATGATCTTGATCTAGCTCCTCCTTTATATACCTCAGGGTCATGCTTTCGCATTGCTTTCTCTAACATCTTTTCATTGCAGGCTTACAATCATAATGTCAATATATTATCTTTTAAAATATTGTTGAGGGCTTCCCTGGTGGCGCAGTGGTTGAGAGTCCGCCTGCCGATGCAGGGGACACGGGTTCATGCCCCGGTCCGGGAAGATCCCACATACCGCAGAGCAGCTGGGCCCGTGAGCCATGGCCGCTGAGCCTGCGCGTCCGGAGCCTGTGCTCCGCAACAGGAGAGGCCAC